TATTTGAGTTCACTTTCTCCGTTGAAAACATTCGAGGAGATTCGAACAAAGTCACGGATGTTGCGTACCCCCGTGTTGATCACAATCAATACGTCATCCAACTCTTTGCCATCTTAGACACCACCATTGACGATTCATTGACCGTTGTGTTTTGCACCATTACCCTCACTGCCCTGAATTTCACGACATCTATGCAAAATTTCAGCGAAGTGAGATCGTTCCTTGTACTCCCTAACTAAAAATTGTCTCCTTTACTGATATGGAACTTTGGTCGACAAGGACCACGTATATGTGTTCCTTCCACTGGACGAACCACCGTCCGTATGGGTTACTCCAAATTCTACCCATACCGGAGGGTCACTGGCAGATCATCTCTATGGACTTTGTCGGCCCTCTTCCGTGCTCCCACTGATCACGGTCATAATGCCATCTTGTTAGTTGTCAATCACTTCACGAAGCGCACACATTTTACTTTGTGCCACTGTTGCGCTGGCACTCGTGAGATCTCCGACATTGTTTTTGAGTTAGTCATGAGAGACCATGACCTACCTTAGAGCATCATTTCTGACTGTGACTCGCACTTCGCTAGCACATTTCGATGATGCCTACATGATGTGTGCATACCTCAACTCCGCTGCTCGTTGTCTTACCACCCTCAGATGGATGGTCAACCTGAGGTCACTAACAAAACTCTCGGTAATGTCCTCAAAAAGTTTGTTAAGAATGATCGATAGTGGGACTTACAGTTGGCCCACGCGGAGGCAACTCACTGTTTGCCAGCCATGGGATATCGCCATAGTATTGCAACCCCAACTATCACCCTCGAGGTGCCTGCGGGCTTTCCAAAACCCTTGCGATTGCACCTAGACACTCGTTGCACAACACTTGATGACTGGTTCGAGCGTATGCAGGATCGTTTTGGCTGTGCGCGCAAGTGTATAGACGCCTCCTTAACTCGCATGGCTGCATGAGCCAACCAATCTCGAATGGATCATCCGAAGTCGATGATGATGTGCTCATTGACGCCCACCACTTGCAGCTCGAAGTGGATCCGCTTTGCAAGTTCAGGCGCCGCTTCTTCGGCCCATGCTGCATCTTTTAGGTTGTCAGTTGTTATGCTACTGATAGACCGACCAACTTTCGTGTAAAGCTGCTTGATTATCTTCGACAGGCTCGCGTACATGGTGTTTATCATGTCTCCTTGTTGCGTTCTTATCGTAAAATGTCCGAGCGCTTCGTCGAAAAACCTTGTGAGCACCCTCCACCTATCATGGTGGACGGTCACGAGGAGTTCGTTGTTTCCGGCATCATATCCATCCGAGTTACCGATGACACCCCTCCACACATTGAGAACCTTGTGCGTTGGAAGGGCTATCCTAATGAGGAGGCTACATGAGAGCCCCTTGTGCACTTGCATCATGCAGGACTTCCGTGCGTGCATATAATTAGTGCTCATCATAATGAGATGTCTGCTTCTGCTCAGCCCATTGACCCTCTTCCTTTTCCTCTGACTCAGAATATCGTTGCGAACGAGCCTGCTCCCTTTGCGTTTTTTTTCCAGCAGTGGACATATGCTTTTTTGCGTCCACAACGCTTTCGTTGTCACCCCGTGCTTTATGACGGCTCACTCTCTCGTCGTCTCCTTACCTTCACACTGACTCACATCTTCTTGTACTCCATCATCAGGTCTACCTTAGGATCTCCGCATTTTGTGGTTCTCCGTCAACATTGACCTCGACTCCTTGATTGACGTCATTGGCTACGACTTTGGCTACTTCACCAGCTCGACCGTGCACATTTCCTTATGCCTCGCATGATGGTTCTCCCTGCATCCCCTCGCTATTTCTCCCTTGGTATCTTGTAGGCATTGGGACCTAGCTTCCCTTCTCCCAGTTCTGGCTCCCTCCCAGTCGGTGAGTGCGTGCATGATCCCCTCACTCACTGCATTCATTCCCCTTAGTGTCGGCCATGCCTTCAGTTATGGATCTCATTCTATCCCAGGGTCCCTTGTCATGGTAGACCCTGCATGGCATCACCCTTGTATCGAGCGTTACTCGCCTTGATGGTGTACCTGTTACGACAATTGGTCTTTCGTTTCCCCTCTCCCACCCTGAGCCTGATCACGTATCCCACTTTTGTTGTGACTGCCCTTAGGAGCTTCGGTTCATAGGATGCATTCACCCCATTCGAGACCATCCCACTCCCAGCAGTTCAGCGGCACAACTTTATCTTGTGATTATTTTGCTATTTTCTTTAGCAGGCATTCTTGCCTTTAGGACTTTAGGGTTGTATTGTGCTTCATTTCATTTTTCTTGCTGATAGTTAGGATTTGTATATCAGACATTTGTTTTTCTTTGTAACATTATGTAGCTTATGAGCTCCACACGTAGTTTGCTCCACGTCCTAGACTTCCTAGCCTTGCAGAATTCTGCTGTTTTTGCGGATAGTGTGTCTATGGGTATTGCGGTCCACTACAGGTCTGAGGATCGTGCAGTGGGACTCTATATACCTCAGCCTATAGCCGAGGCTATTTGGCCTTGTGCCTGTTGGGCATGTGGGACCAGGCCGTTGGCCTGATCTCACAGGTCGTTTGTTCATTCAGTCAAGGCCTATTTGGCCTTGTGCCTGTTCAGCCTGTGGGACCAGGCCATAGGCCTGATCTCACAGGCTGTGTGTTCATTCAGTCCAGTACCCCCGATGGTACCTGTCCAGTCAGTCCGCTGGGGGTATACCCAACTGCAGTCTGTATTCTGGCTCATTCTTCATTTTGCAGTTTTGGAGTTGTGGTGTTGAGTCCTTGGTGGTGCTCTCTCTCGCCTTCAGCCCTATCTCGATCTCCACCTTCATCCTCAGCCCTTCTTCTCCATGGATACAGGATCTGCCATCCCGACAGCATCCCGTTACACCACTTCTTAAACCACCAGTACTTGGCCCAGCTATCGGCTGCGGGAAAAAATAGAGTAGAAACGTTTCTAGTCGGATGAATTTGGGCGCTCCTGTAGTAGCCTGTACGTCTCCTAAAATCGTGGCGCGTTAACGGCCATGACTGTAGGAAGTACTGGTGGTTTAAAAGAAAAATTAAAAAATGAGGTAGAAGAGGACAATGCTGCTGCCTTCTTTTTTTTTTCCAAAATGAACAATGTCTTTATAAAAGTCGGGAACCGGGCCCGGCGTCCCTTACAAAATTATGTGGGGCCCTCTGTGGGCAAGGCATCATCGGCCAAACACATAGATTTACCCCACTGTCAATTTCACAATCCCAGCAACTCAAAAAGTCAACGAAAATTATCATCACAATCTAAATTATCCCCGAGGGAGGGGCCTGAGGGGAGGCACGGGGGATTGGTCCGCTTTATCCCTGGTGCTACCGGCTGTCCCCTGGCTGGTATCCTGCAGGCTCGAGGGGCCGTAAAAACGCGGCTCTGGTATGCTACGGGTTTCCCCATATGCCTATAGGTAGGAGTAGTGGTAGGTAGGTAGTGTGAGGAAAAATTGAGAGAAGAGTATAGTTAAAAAAAAAAAAA